TTCTCCTGCATCTTCATGGGTTTTAACCATTTGCATGGGGGATCCGAACTCCTGATGACTTTGCAGGCGCCATCCAGAACCATACTGTTATGAAGATACTCCAAGCTCAAGAGTCCACGGCCACCCTGGTCTCTAGGTATGTATATAACCGTGGAACGGACGAATTTGGATGCATCATCGTCAAGTTGTCGCAGCTCGACTTGATTCCACTTTATCACTCCAAATGAGTAAAGTAGGACCGGAACAGCAAGCATATTAGTAGCAGCAACTTTGTTCTTTCCCGACAGTTCTGACGACCAGATCTGTCGGAGCCGCTGCCGATACTTGCTGCGGAGAGCGTCTGCTTTCACCCGTTGTGCCTCCTGGATGTGAGTTTCATCTACACCCAGGTAGGTGTACGTCTCTCCGGCATCCTGGTGGTTCCGTCCACGAGCTGCTCGTCCTTGTCGTAGTTCTCGCATCGTTATTACTATCATTATTATTATTATATTATCAATCAATAGGAAATTCGATTGTGAACAAGAACTGCATTTCAAAATTTTGTCCTGAATTCAGAAATGAAGAAGCTGTCGACCATTTCTTTTCACTTTAGTAAGGTCAAAATTACGACAATTAGTTGTAGTTATACCTCGACCATCCTCGACTTACATAATCACTTTGAAAAATCATCGATAGCTCACTCATTTCTGAATTTAGGATAACTCTTTTTGCTCAGAAATCAGAATTTCCCATCGATTAGGAATATTGTTTACTGGATGTCCCTTTGAAGAAATTTTTGACGTAGGTAAATCGTGAACGCGATGTTAAATTTTTGACTAATTCTTGTTATCGTAATCAGCAGAAAAATGATCACTAGTTTGGCCATTCAACTGACATTGTAGCTCCAATAATAACCAAGTTAGCAATATAGTGCCGACTTAAGTTTGAAAACCCTGTATACCTACACCTACTATTGTATTGAACCATTACGAATAATTTTCTTTTGATCCGTGCCTATTGTATTGAATCATTACGATTCAAATATTTCTTACCTGTTGCAAGTTTCGTGTCATCCTGTTCGAAACCCTGAGAACACCACTCACAGTTTCCATCGCCAAGAAACGGCTGGAAATCCCCGTCTACTGGAAAATTGGCGACACTATCCGAACAGTTGAGTTCATTAGAACTAGCGAAATGCTTTTCATCAGGTCCCATTGTTTCATTATTCCGGATCGTACAATTCCGAAGCCTCTTTGCTTCGGTTTCCAAGTAATTGTCATCTGGGACTTTGTTCGCCTTGGCAGACGAGATTTCTCGAAAATTTACTGTCGTTATGATCAGAATGGTATATTGACTTAATGCAAAGAGGAACATATTGTTGGTTTTCTAGCCCGGTAGATGGTTGAGTCATTCAAGAAGCCATTCCACCTGGAAATAAGAATTATTTCAGCAATAACATCAAATGAATCACTTCTCTGACACATCTCTTGAAGATGGTTCTAAAATAATAAGAACACTTGATATGTTTTCAGTCGGTTAATAACTATTTCAAAATATCATCAAGAAGTACAAATATCTATGAATTAACATCACTCAAACTCTCGTTCATTTCAAGATCTTCTATCATAAATTAACTTGAATTAACACATTCAGTACATTGTAGTTTCGATTAGGTCAGCGGAGTTCATAGACGTCAGTTCCTTTATAATTTGCAGAAAAACCGCTTACCGTGCGATAAGCAGTATCGAAAGGCAACGACCATTCCCATTGCGGAAAATTGCGAACCTTGCATCTATTCCGAATTTAAATAGTACCCGAGTCGATAAGGCATGGTCATTATTAGATCAATCATCATTCGATTCGTCAATAGCAATTATTATAATAAAATCAGTACGTGGCACTCATTCATTGATTGCTGACTTCCAAAGTGATACTATGTCACTTTGGGGGTGTGACATCTCCTCGACTTTGGTGCTGCTGCAAATAACATAATGTAATGTAAGTACCAAGAACCATCATCTTGTTTTTGTTGTTCGCTCGTTTCATATTTGTTCTTTTTGCTGTTTGCTGTTCCGCCTTTTTGGCACATTTTTAGGTTTTCGTGATTGAATAAATAGATTTTTGTACTTTTGAAAAACAATTCTCTTTATTTGGGGATGAATATGGTTGGGTTGTGAAATACTCAAAATCCTCTTGCGAAATGGACAAGCGAGTACTCTTAAGTTGATGCATCGAAGTGAAGGAGATGTCTATAAGTTGCGACACGTGGTGAAGGTGCATCTGAGTTGCGACAATATGAATATATCAATGTCTTCAAATACTAGTGGAGAAGCGAAACCCAATAAACCATAATGATTTAAAATATCTGGCCGTGCCGCAAGCCGCAATAAATGTGATAATAATATTAAATCGTCGTATATATCCATGCATATTCTATAGTCACATCATTAATCCAGTATGATCATATTCTGTCGTCCAGCGTGTTATTCCGTCGTAGAACTAGCTGTGTATTGTACCAGATTTCATAACGAAGATGACTAGTAAGAATATAGCAGTTGCCCTCCTAATTGACAGCAGGAGCGAGACAGTACTGTTTCGGCCCACCAGGCCCCATCAGCCGCTCTCGCTTTGCTGACAACTGAGACATCTCAAACGCTTCCGGTGTATCACTCATTTCTAAGATAGGTTCTAGCAATATCACCATCTAGTGGTATAGTTCTAAGATAGGATCACGCGCGATCACGCAATATACAATATACTATGTCGCTACCATTTATAGTCAATACCTGATGACCTTTACGTCAGATCAGAGTGGTACTACACGTAGCAGTGTATCTGTATTTTCTCAGTAAACACATACTCGTTTATAAAACCTTTGAAAAACGGTAGTAATCGTGGAAATAACGTATATAATAGGTTAAAAACTTCAATCTTAAAATTTGATTGAAAGAAACGGGAAATCAACACGTTAATTAGACGCTTTATATGTAACAGTTCATTACATTATGTTGACATACAATTAACCACTATTAAACGTTGAATAAAAACGTTATATATTGATACTTTCAAGTAATTATCGTTTATTTCAACGTTTGAACACACACACGTTTGACAACAAACAAATGTATAGAGTGTAATTTGAAAATTTGAAGTTGGACGTGCATGGTTTTCCAGGGGTCGTTTGACGGAAGTTGACTTTCACACATCGGCTCCAAAGTAATAAGGGTTTGACAGAAGTATAATTTTTTTAGATCATATTCCAAGCAGCATAACTGAGATAATGGCTATATGAAAAGATCTGGGACACCCGGAATAGATTCAGATTCAGATGAAGAAATTGCGGCAAATGAAGCAATTCAAACTCCAGTACCTGCTATATTTAAATGATAAATCTTAGTTCTTATTCATTTCTTCTTTGGGTATAAAACTAGAAATTGAAATTATTTTCCCACTATAGTGCGATAAAGTGTATCCCATTACGAAACTGAAATCAGGGTTGTTATGTTTCACATTACATATACCTACATATTGGCAGTAGGTGAATACCATTTTGATGCAATCATATTTAAATGATAATGATAATGAAATCAGTGAAAACCTTACCTATCTATTTTAATTTATTCAGATTGATCAGCATCCCAAATATGCATTAATAGCTACCTCAGCTACACGTATATATTACTCATCTATGCCGAAATTTGTGTTCAGAGGCCCTTTGGAACGACAATCCGCGGTTTACTAACCGCGTCTTTTGGCTAGAACCACGCGGGTATCAGAATGATTCTGCGCTGGAATACTGGACCAATTACGGGAGTTTCCGGAGTTTCTTCTGATTGCTCCATGCCGAAACTCAGGGGAGATCCCTGAACTTACCATTATACAAATAAATATCACTAGTTATGTACGCTTGATTAATACAGTGCTTTCGTAAAGTTACCTATTGAATAGATTCATCACCCAAACTATCCATTTATTAGGAATCTCCTGAAACAAGTCGATTATTATTTTCAATTTGCCACATTTACAAAGAAAACTTGAATACACAGGGTGATCCACGTTTTGAGTTATGACGTCCGCGACAATTTCAAATGGAACGACATCCTATATATATTATTACATTTTTGGAATCACCACTGAATTCAAAAATTCATCACCCAGATGGTTTTTATACAGTGCGTTAGTTAAATTAAGTGCTTTCGGGAGGTATACTGAATAAATTCATTTTTAGACAAACTATATTCAAGTGTGATCCACACTAAAAAAAATTGTCGGTATATAGTTAATACTAAACATTTAGTTAAATAGGAGCCAGTCATGTACATTCATCTAATAATACCACTACAAAATGGTATAACACTATATACTATATATATATCGAATATTACCACTATACAAAATAGTTTATTCATACTATTATAGTACAGTATGATACAATTTTGTTGTGGTATTATTTGGTGAATGTAGTGACTGGCGCCTATTTAACTAAACGTTTAGTATTCACTTCCGACTATTTCTCTGAGTGCACGTTCGAGTTATGACGTCCGCGACAATTTTTTTCAAATGGAACACATGAAAGACTCTGGATTGAATCTAAGAGCATCATGCAGCGTATGTTCGAATGCTGAACCCCATACATGAGAACAGTATTTTAAAACCGGCCGTATCCGTGCTAGAGAAGCTGTTGAGGTGTGAAGTAGATTCTTGCACGGAACAATAAGAATCCTAGTTTTTGTGAAGCAGCTTTCACGAGATGGATCGGACATGTGTGAAAGTAGTAGATATAATTATGTGTGAACAAAGGGTGTGAACCCAATGATGTCAAAGCTCATTTAGTACTAGATTCCGAAAAAAAGTACTTTGGTACTGAACATCTTTGAATTTTGCTAAATCTAGTACGAAAGTCATAGCTGAAGCACTTATAGTCACTTGTCTTTGAACGCCGTATTCAGCGCCTGCTAAGGCCTATCGTTCCAACAGAGCTAAGAATTACGAAAATTAGAAGAAGGCAAAGTACAGTTCATATAACCTTCAAATTTATAAATTTGTCAAAATGATGTCAAATCTCAAATCAAAACAGAAAACAAAGATGAATATTGTGTAAAATTCAATCTGACCCAAATTTTTATTCAAAAGTGAATTTACAATGTCTTCGGATTATTATATATTCACCATTGTGTATTTTCTAATCAGTATTTGTCTTATTTATCCACCCACTGAATTTGTAACAGCTGGCTTGACCATTCCATCAATTTTCTCTTCTATTCTGGGAAGTGAACATGAAAAATGCATTACTTATCATATGAAAAAGTCATGTTTGAATTTACTCATTTATTCTTTGTTACCTCTTGGTTATTTAGTATCATCATATACTTTGGAATACACAGAAACTGTATGTACAGACATTTAACTAAATAAAGGTCTCAATTTTTATATACAGTAGGAACTGTTTTTCAGATTAGCCAGCTAGCAGTATCAGACACATTATTTTGGAAGCTATTTTATACTACAAGTCTTGTTCTACCTCTGCTGAGTTTTTATGAGATTTACAGTTGGACAAGGAATGACTACAGCAATCACCCTATTGCTGTCAACATATTCAAATTCTGCAATGATAACATGCATTGGAAATCTGTTGCTAATGACATTGAAATGGAATACAGAAGGTATTAAACTCATCAAGTTGGGGAGCTGTTTATGTTCAACTTTCATTTACAGAATAGACAATCTCTCAATTCAAACTAGCCCAGTTGTTAATATTGTAGCAACAGAAAACTGGATTCTGAAAATTACACCACTTACAATATTTGTTGTACATCAGAGTGATGCCTCCTTAGTTGTAAAAGAAGCCAATACATACCATATATCACCCAGCAGTCTAGTTCATACACAGTTTCTAAATATTGAAGTGAAATCTAGAAGACAGGGTGTTAATCCCTTTGTGATAAGAGTAAATGCAGGTGACTTCAAGGATCTAGCAGACAGAGTTTCGAGAACTATCACTATAATGCCCAATGTGAAGTTTCATCAGTCTGTCTTAGATCAATTTGTAGATGTTTTCAAAGAAACTATAAAATGCAATCCTTCTTATGGAACAAATCAGGTACATGTGCATACTTCTTTAAAAAGACAGTGTATTCAATTTCTCATTTTTCAGGAACTGGAGCAGTGTATTGGTTGCCTACAAACTAAACCAAATGTGAAAATCCAAAAATTATGTGAGGACAGTCCAGGACAAAATAATTGTGCCAGCTGTTATTGTAAGCCAATGTGGTGTAGTGACTGTTTGGCCAAATGGTTTGCCTCACGTCAGGACCAGGAACAACAAAATAGATGGTTGTCTTCAAAGTGTACTTGTCCAATGTGCAGAGCAACCTTTTGCTTGTTGGATGTCTGTTTGGTAAATGAGTTATCAGATGAAGAATGAAGAAATTGTTGAAAATATTCACAAATGTTATAAATAAAAGTGAAAAAAAAATCCTACATATTTTTTTTTATATTTTGGTATTTTGTATGGTACTATTATTTTGTTTTGTTCTTTGATGAAATATTATTTCTCTTGGTATATGCTGTTATAAAATATAATATATGGTTTTAAAAAATGTTATGATCCAAGATGATGTTCAATGTTCATTTCATATTAACTTCACAGAGCAACATGCTACTTTTTGAATAAATTCAGGTCAAATTGCACTTTTCAGGAACCCCCACATATTATGTTTGTTAGTTATCTTTAAATTTACACCATTAATTTTCAATGGAACACTCTGTTTTGTATATTTATTAGGCATTAGATGTGGGCTCTCCAAAATTATGGAAATTTTCTAAAAATTGTTATTCATGTCCAATTAATAGAAAATGTTTGGAACAGAGAGCAAAATGTCCAAAACATGGCCTTATATTCTTGTGACTTATTTTCTATCATTTTATCTGTATTGACCTGTAGCTATAAATACTTTATGTTGTATTGTAACAATGTGTAGTTCCAATCTCTTTATACAAATTTGTCAGTAAGATTTCATCTTGGACAATAGGTAATAGGTGGCGTGCAAGAACTGTCAGATGACCGACCCTGGAGGCAAAACATATTTGTTTACAAGTGATCGAAATAGTTTTCCACAATCATTTTGGCATATGAATTGTATTTTTCCGCTATTCATCAATTCGCTCATGTACGAAGGCGCTGAAGGGCCACCTATACTATTTTTTTTCGAATCCCGACTTTAAAGTCGGACCCCCGACTTTAAAGTCGGGGGTCCGAGATTAAAGTCGGGGGTCCGACTTTAAAGTCGGGGGTCCGAGATTAAAGTCGGGGGTCCGACTTTAAAGTCGGGGGTCCGAGATTAAAGTCGGGGGTCCGACTTTAAAGTCGGGGGTCCGAGATTAAAGTCGGGGGTCCGACTTTAAAGTCGGGGGTCCGAGATTAAAGTCGGGGGTCCGAGATTAAAGTCGGGGGTCCGACTTTAAAGTCGGACCCCCGACTTTAATCTCGGACCCCCGACTTTAAAGTCGGACCCCCGACTTTAATCTCGGACCCCCGACTTTAAAGTCGGACCCCCGACTTTAATCTCGGACCCCCGACTTTAAAGTCGGACCCCCGACTTTAATCTCGGACCCCCGACTTTAAAGTCGGACCCCCGACTTTAATCTCGGACCCCCGACTTTAAAGTCGGACCCCCGACTTTAATCTCGGACCCCCGACTTTAAAGTCGGACCCCCGACTTTAATCTCGGACCCCCGACTTTAAAGTCGGACCCCCGACTTTAATCTCGGACCCCCGACTTTAAAGTCGGACCCCCGACTTTAATCTCGGACCCCCGACTTTAAAGTCGGGGGTCCGACTTTAAAGTCGGGATTCGAAAAAAAAAAGTATAGGTGGCCCTTCAGCGCCTTCGTACTCATGCCATCACATTGTGCTGTTGTAAAATGCACAAAAACTGCAGCGGAAGATGAAGGAATCCGGATGGTACATTATGATTCAAAAGTAAGTACCTACTATAGTCACACATATAGTTTTCATTTTTGAAATTTGGTTATTTCTCTGATTTCTCATCGGAATTCCTTCTGCAATAGGAGCTAACAGAAATATACCTGAAATTTCTAGAATAATGCAAGAAGATTGGATTCATGCAATCAATCGGGAGAACTGGTCTGACATGCTGACGATCGTGTGTGTTGTAGACATTTTCAATGTATTAGCAGTGTTAGCTTGTATTGCAGAAGTGGCAGAAGGAATCTTCATAAGGAATGACAACATTTCATAATGATAACTATGTGAGATTACTATTTACCTGAAAAATCATATTCCCTAGTCTCTTGCTGTATTTTTTGTGCATTGTGCTTGAATTAATGAATAATGCAAGAAACACGATTCGTATGCCAAAATATTGTGAAAAACTATTTCAACCTTTTGATTCCTCTAAAAAGTGAGGTTGTGTTTCAATAATTCACAGAAGAGCGAGGTTGTGTTTCAATATTTTGCCTCCAGGGTCGGTCATCGTGCACGCGACCTATAAACGTCATTTGATTTATTTTCATGTCAGTTTGATGATTATTAGTCAAGATGTTTTTCTCCAAATTACATTGAAAGTGGCTTTTTAAGGACACTTAAACAGGCAAAAAGGTGCTTTTACTGCCTAGGCAGACATTTTTTTGCTATGCAACGCTCCAAATAATTATTCTAAACAAATTGATTGATAATCAATGTTGACAATGCCTTTGGGTGAACACAAAATGATGGAGAATTTGGAATTTGCGTGAAATTAAAATGAATTTGGAGAAAAAATATGTTTCACATCGCAGAAAAGAAGATCCAATGCCTTGGCTGGCGTTTCATAGCTTCTGCATTGTGGTTTTCTGCCTAATAAAACAAATAACTATTGCTCTTTCAATACAAAATATTTAATTTATTTATATCACATATTATTTGGTTTATGAAACTAATTAAATGTATATGGTTTGTTTAAACATTCCTTTGGCATTCAATTTGCTGATGAATATATTTTTTACTACTCCTAATCAAACCACCTATCATGATGGATCCACCTTTCTAATCCTTCATTGAAACTGAAAAAGAAAGGACGTTGAAAAGCAAGGAAACTATATATATAGTCTCGATCCTTGGTTGAAAAGCTTTAAAAATTTTTGGGCGACATTGGAACACTTGAACAATAAAACAAGTGCTTCATTATGTACTTCACTTACTAGTTTGAATTTTTGCTACACCAACAAACAAATAGGCCACATATATCATATATCTGTATTCATATATACAATTTATTGTATAAAACATGATATTGAGTCATTTTATCGCCATATCGTGGCCAAAATCAGCAGACCGAGAGCGGCTGATGGGGCATGGTGGGCCGAAACAGTACTTTCTCGTTCTTGCTTAATTGGGGCATTTTTATCCATTGTTGATCTCTCAGTTATGAGTACTAGTTCTAAGAATAAAGAATTAATTTCACGAAACATAGAACGAAAACATTTAAAAACAGAAAAAACCAACAGTAAAAAAGATTTGAAGTTGATAATCACCATGTTGCTCTTCTCGGTAGTGTTTTGAGTGCTTGTCTGGAGCTATAATATAGGGGAACATACCAAATAGCAAACAATTTCTTATCACTGGACTCCCAAAACAGCTTCAAACACAGGACTGGATAAGCAAAAATTCCACACAAGCAATAATACAAATACAAATATATTTATTCACTTGGAAAAACACATATACATTCAAGCTATGAGCAACAAGAGAAACATCTTACACGATTGGACACCAAACAGGACATGAAAAATATTTTAGAAAAGTTGGACTTCATATTTACAGATATTTCCTATATTTCAACTAGCCCACCTAGATTTCTGCAAGTCTATCTGGCCTTCCAGAGTTTTGGCAAGATAAATCACGAATAATTGAGAGAGAGCCACTCCTAGTGCTATTCCTGCAATTGTGTAGAGATTCCTTTCTGCCCAAGAACGCACGATTTCTATGCAGCCTGACGTCCAAACTTTCTTACTGGCCTCGGCAACCTTAAAGCAGCAAGAATTGATTATGACCAGAAAATGTACAGGGTCTTCACATACAGCGTGTCTCACTTTAAATGGCCCCCCCTCTACAGTCTGTCCAAGATAAAGTTGAACAGCATGGGGATCTCGGAAACGGTAGGAGATACGAAGTCGCTTAAATGGGGAAAAAGTTGCGCATTCGGAGGCTCATATCAAGAGCCTTCGAAAATTTTGAAAATTATTTTTAGTTTTTGTGTTATATCGAAAAAAGTGAATTTTTGGAATTTCTATTTTATTTTTTTTCTCCGTTATTATCAGAGATACAGAAAAACTGAAAATACTTTTTCATTGCAACTTTTGATGAGGTTTAACGTGGTGATACCGATTTTTTTATGCGACGTTTCGTTTTCGTGGAACCATCATCAACTTTTGTTTTTTAAATACGGTCCTGATAATTTTTTCACAGATTCTGAAAGGTTTTTTCATTCTGAATTCAACAATGTACTATACAAGGTGATTCGAATGTGTTTCGACCTATTTCTATCCATCATCAATGTTTTTTTGAACTTCCAAAAGAAAAAAAGCCATCAGTTCCACTTATTTCTTATCATTTAGTGTCAAACTTGATGGATTAGTTATACAATACTGAAAAGTGAATAAAAAATATTTCACTACATCATTCGATCAATGCAGCGTTTAAAATTGTTGATGAATTCTTACACGAATTACTTTAACAACTTAACTTTGACAATACCTGAGACATTCATAACAAATGTTCAAAATGATAACCATTATTTTCTGAACAAAGATATCCTCTTCTCACAGTTGTTTCTAAGACATTGCTAAGCATTTCTGGGGTTATTCTATTGAATGCTTCGAAGACACTGTCCCTTAGTTCTTCTTCATCCTCAAAGTTATTTACGTGTACAAAGTTCGATATATCCCCTAAGAAAAAATCCAGCTGTGTCAAATCAGGCGACCGCGCCGGCCAAGGGATAAAAACGCACGGACTTCTCTGGAATTATGTACCGGAGCGCCATCTTGTTGAAACCAACAGAGTTCTGAACTTCCGCAATCGGTAAATCATCCAGAGCTTCCTCAAGATGATTCTCAAGCGAATTTCTATAACGTTCGGAAGTCTGTGTTTCATGGTAAATAGAAGGAACAATAAATCGTGTACCAAATATTGCAACCCACATATTAAAGCCGAAACGGTGTTGGTGTCTCGCTGTAATGTATAAATGTTCATTTTCTCGTGAACAATAATGTGTATTTTTTCTATCGAAGCTACCATGATTAGTGACCATGCTTTCATCAGTCCAGATGATTGTTCGAAAGAAATCTGCAAAATTTTAACATTTCCTGGTATACCACTCACAGAATGTCTTGCGCCTTTCGTCATCGCCTGGTTTTAGCGCTTGACATATTCTGAATTTGTATGGATGGAATTTTTGTTTCCGCAAAATGAAATGGGTTGTTGATTGAAACCAGTTGATGAGGTATTAGTGTGTTGACTAATTTTCCTTCAAAATTAGTGGAACTGATGGCATTTTTCCTTTGGAGTTTCGAAAAAACATTGATGATGGCCAAAAATAGGTCGAAACACGAATGAACCACCTTGTATAATACATGGTTGAATTCAGAATAAAAAAACCTTTTAGAATCTGTGAAAAAATTATCAGGACCGTATTTAAAAAACAAAAGTTGATGATGGTTCCACGAATACGAAACGTCGCATGAAAAAATCGGTATCACCACGTTGACCGTCATCAAAAGTTGCTATGAAAAAGTATTCTCAGTTTTGCTGTATCTCTAATAATAACGGAGAAAAAAAATAAAATAGAAATTCCAAAAATTCACTTTTTTCGATATAACTCAAAAACTAAAAATAATTTTCAAAATTTTCGAAGGCTCTTGATATGAGCCTCCGAATGCGCAACTTTTTCCCCATTTAACCGATTTCGTATCTCTTACCGTTTTCGAGATCCTCATGCTGTTCAACCTTATCTTGGACAGACTGTATATCTCAGTTATTAGTCATGCGATTCCAACCAAATCTGGCGTGGTATGAATAACCATCAATATGATCAGTTTTACAGAGATGCACATCATTTTGGACAATGCCGTGCGTTTTTATTGAAATAAAAAGTGGTCGATTTCTCATAAAATCATATTAGGCATTTTTTACAGGAAATCTAACCTCATATTATTGTTCCTCATGCTTTGGAACCTCCATATGCAAAAAATCACCTAATTCCGAATTAACAGGATTGGCTCCCTTTTTGACATTTTCAGTCTGGAATAAATGGTGACTTCAAATCAAATACGAATTTTGGATCGTTCAATGGCTCCGGTAGGTGGAAAATCATGATTTGGAAGAAAAAACGAGTTATACTTTTTTATGTTGAACTCACCGTTTCCGAGTAAATAATTATTACGTTCGCAAAAATACTGTTTAGATGTGCCTGTTTTTCTGAAACCCTTCATAGGAATCTCATGAAAATCCACCTATGTGGGTTTGAAACCATGAAGAACATTATTATGAGGTCAGTTTTCCTGTGAAAAAATGCCTAATATGATTTAATAAAAAACTGACCCCTATTCATTTCAATAAAAATGCACGGCACTGGCTAAAATTATGTTTGCCTTTGAAGAACTGGTCATATTGATGATAATTCATATCGATACAAATTTGGTTAAGATCGCACGACTGATAGCTGAGATATAGAGGGGGAGCCGTTTGAAATGAGACATGCTGCATATAGGGTTATATTTAAGTAAGTGGCCATACTGCAAGGGGAGATTATCTGGGTGATTCTAAGATGAAGAGTTCATATAAGCATAGGCTCTGGAATGCTTTGTTTTCAAGATACAAGGGTGATGACGGGTCGGAAGTATTGATTACCCTGTATGAGCTTTCATGATGGCAATATTTAGTCTGATGGTTGGTGACTGAGTCTCAAAATTTCAGAATGATACTCATTGAAGTTATTGGGTAATCCCATGGTAATCCTGATGGGTGTTTTGAGGGCACCTACCTGATGTACACTGCTGCCCAAAAAAATCTGAGTTATTTTGGTATATTTCTTCATCGTTTAGGCACATTGTTGATCTACCCAAGGGTCCACCTCATTAGCATTTTATGATATGATTCAAGTGTTTTGGTGCATTCAATTAGCAAGAACTTGAGCAGTATTGGTTCCAAGATTACCCATTCTTTTTGATATTGATTATATGATGGAAATGGCAAAGGCTATTTTTGAGATTTTATTCAGCATTCACGTTACAGGTTGTGATGTGAAAGTGAGATACTCAAATATTATCTCAATGATAGACAAAATGGATGATCTGCGGCAATAAAAGTGTGTTATACAATTTTGTAGTGTAGTATTATCAGATGAATGTGGTGACTGGCGCCTATTTTACTAAACATTTGGTATTTATTACTGACTATATTTTTTTCAGTGTGGCTTTGCAAAGACTATAATTGTTAAATCTCTTTCGTCGAATAATCAAAAATTGTCTGGTCTTATATTATATTATATTATATTATACCTTTTATTTCGTCTCCTACAATCAAAACTCTGACGTCTTTCAAAATTATTATTTTTTCTGTGACGGGAAAAAAGTTTGGCATTTCATCTCTGTTGGCAGGTTATAAAATGTCACTTTTCATAAATTACTTTTTTCCCGTGGGAAAAAAGTGAGTACTTCTTTCCCGGATATATATCACATATATATACTCTGTTGATGGCTTTTGTTGTGCAATAGTTCCGAAAAATGAGTCAATAATACCGTCTCCGAGAAATAACTGCAAATCCTTTTATCTTCCATTCGACTTCGCGGTTTCGTATATTACTAAACAACTACTGAATTCGCAATTTTTTAAAATCAAATTACAGAATTGAACTGACAGAAGTGACATCAGATATTTGATTACTTCAAAAGAATGATGAAGATGCCTATAAAACGCAGGTGTCCCTACTGTTAAAAACTTGAAATTTCACATGGATAATTTTCAGATTTCGAAATAATGTAATATCTTCTCAATATTGATTCGTCCTTCCTTCTGTCACAGAAAAAAATAGTGTATTATACACGGGAAAAATATTAGATTTTAGCTCACGGTTTTTTGTCTCCCTCCGCTACGCGTCGGGAGACAACACAACCTGGAGCTAAAATCTACAACTTTTTTCCCTTGTATAATAAATAACTATTTTTCCCCACTATCTTTTGTTTCTATCAACCTCAATGACATATCCAAACTATATACAAAGCGTTCAACTAAAATATAAGGAAGTAACAATAATAATACTTATATATTTTCACATCTATTCTGCCTTTTTGTTTTTTATTTAAATTGATCCACCATTCTCTTTTTCTACAAATTATTGGTTATCTAACACCATGCAGATTTTGTTGGAAATGAAATCAGCCGATGGCGTGCATCCGATCCTTCAAGAATGCACTCTATGAATCATATTATTCAATTCTTTCATTTAATTTGACAAAATTGTTTCAATTATGATAACTATTGTTTTACCTACCGACATTTCCAGAGGAATAAAAATCCAGAATACAAAACCTGAAAATATTAAATTTTTTCAGTTACTTCATGCTGCTTCATGTCTATGATTTTTTATGTCACAAGCTCCCATACTTCCATATTTTAAAACAAATGGCACCAAATTATAGAATGAATTTTCACTACTCACCAGCTGCTTTTTCATACCATACCTGCTTTTTCATACCATACCAATAAGATGAGAAATAATAAGAGGATTTAGGTACAGGAAACTACCTACAGTAGTGGTTGTGCTGTGTAATGAAGATAGATATAGTAGTCCATGGGCATAAGCTGATGTTTGGATAAAAACATCAGGAGTCCTTATGATTTATTTGGGCAGCAGTGTACATTAAAATTTGGAATAAAATCAGTTTTTCATCATTTCCTCAAAAACTAACTGATATACAAAAATTCAATAAGGTACAAGAAAGTTGTATTTTCAATAGTTTAATCTGATGAAAATATCAAAAAACCTACTGTGGCCTGTATATCAGTGTCATTTAATTTTTATGAGTTATAGTTAATTCCCACTCAATGAGACTGTTGAAACATATCCAGTATTTTATTTTCAATGGATTTTACAGTATCTTTTTATTACTTAATTGCCAATTTTTTTTTTCACTTTATGAAGATGTAACTTACTGATAGGGTTTGAACTCCATAGCCACACATTATATTCACTAGTGGAGAACTGAGGTCTGTGGGATTAATGCAACAAGAAAAGGGAACTCCACAGTGTTCCACACTTGGAGAAGTGCAGTTGAAGTATTCATTCTTTGACCAATCCATATAACCTTCTGAACTGAGCCCACAGCAACGAAACTGAAACAAAAATTACTTTTGTGAAAATGGTAATGTAAAATAGGAAATAATATAAAAAATGTCTAACAAATGAGTTCCTACATACTTTTAAAAGTACCATATTATTTGAAAAGGAAACTTACCTCTTGTTGTGCAAAGTCAATGAAATTTTGTAAATCAGGATCATCCCTGTAAGTGTGTATGATTTTGTCTGTGAAGTTTTCTTCTAGAACAGACTGCATTGAGTGGGGAAAGACAAATCCAACTATAGCAATTCCCATTTCCAATAAAAAGAATATCAAAAGACAAAGGGAATACTGAAATAAAAAAGTACAATTACAACTACAATGAATGCACCATTTTGTTTCTGAACTTGTTCATGATAGATTACTTACAAATTTAAGTAAGCAGGTGTTTTCTCTCAGGGCTCCCACACATCCAGCAAAACTGACAATGAAAACAACACCACCCATTATCACCATCACCAAAGAGATGTTCAATATCACATCATATACATTCTCAAGCTTCACCCAGCCAGTCAATTGCCATTTGTCTACAAAGGCATACAAGCCAATACCAATCAGAAGACCCCCAAATAACTGAAACAAAAAGATATTCACCCATAACCAATTCCTTAAGTGAAAACATCAGTTTCTTACCCAAAAGATGAAATTCAGGATGAATATCAGATATTTAACACAGGGGCTGACATGAGTGAAGTTGCTGGATGGTTGTCTTCTGTATTCTCTCCTATTATAAGAAGTAGTCATATTGGAATAGTACTTATCTGCTCTTAAAGTTCAAGTCCAGGGATCCAGTCAAGGGGTATAACTATCATAGGAACCAGGTGCACATTCAGAAAATGTTCCTCCAGAACATGTCAATCATAAAAATATGAAAGCTTGTCATAGAAGCAGCAGTTTCATTCAATTTCTGGAAAAATATATCTTTGCTATTTAAGAAGGTGTGTCATATAATCATACAATCAAAACAATGCCAAATAACATTGATGGTGACTCACCCTTTGTTTACAGTTATTGTAGTAGCAGGGTTGGATAATTATTTAATAAATAATGTAATCTATGGTTACTTTTTGTGAAAAACTAATGAGCAATGGTCAAGAAAACACAGTTATCAAACTATGAAACAATCATTCACGTATTTTAGTAACAGTAACAGGATTACTTAATAAATTGAATTCTGTTTTCTTTTCATCAATCACCAGATCTTTAAATAAATGGCATAATATGCCATAAATATTCTATAGGCTTGTTCGTTTGTATTGCTGTACTTGCTGAAGTTAATTTTTTTCCATATTTGTCTCTGTTCATTGCATGATTTAAACAGAGAAAGTAATAGAAAAAATCCAATGTCAGCAGGTAGCGCGAGCACAAACGAACAGGCCTTATATGTCAATTTGAAGTTTGACATTGACTTTTCACTGTCACACAAGTCTTCTTTCTAATCACTTAACTCTTATAGAACTGATTTATAATGGGTTATAAGTTTTATAGATTTCAGTTACTTAACACTTTCAGAAGTTCAGATTGGATTTGAATTTGAACCATTTGAAGTTATTTTTTATTATCCAGAACCAATTTTCATTGATCAAATCTCGTGGTAAATTGAATAAACCAATGGAATATTTATTTTCCACTTATATTTCAGAAATCCTTAGAAAAATATCATCACAGTATCACAGTATATTATCCTTTATCATAGATATACAACATTTTTCTGCAGAGAAGGAAAAAAAAAGCAATATGATCATATTATGGGGCCCCAAGTCATTACTATAAAAACAGTTGACCACTGATGATGAACATTTTGATACTGCTGGATACTGTTGTTCTTCAGAAGTGAGCTATTCCATCCTATTTCACCATCAGCATAAAAGCCAAGTAGGGGCACTTTTTCAAATATTTCACTGAAAATAACAATTTCTTCCTCTGCATTCTTCTTTGCTGAACAGCAAATCCTAATTGCCACACAGTGTCTTCTTAAAAAAATTCTTTTCCGGAACTTGGAAACTTCACTGGTGAACTCTACTTTTGATAAATATTCTCCATTAATCACACAGGAGAAAGCATTGAAATCTGCTTCAGAATCACTTGCTTGCCAAAATGCTATGGAAAAAACATCAGCATTTTTCTTCCTGAATATTTGTGGTGAACTTACAGCTCTAAGGACTCCACCTGCTAGTGCCACTGTCTCATTATTGTTTTGAACTAATTTTGTCAACAGGTCATCTATAATCTTCTTGCGATTTGTGCTGGACTTTCTAGTAGTAGTGAATATAAGAAGACATTTGAGTTCCTGATTTTGTTCAACCATGTTTTGAAAATTTGGATCATCATTACCATCATAATAAAACATAGCTGTACTGATATTTGGAATTTGGGGTAAGAACAAACCCTCCATTGCAAATTTGTCTACAAGATTGATTTCTGGTTGAAAAGATGATAGAACTCTGCAGCATGATAACACACAATATTTCACATCTTTTGGTATCAACTCCTTTTCAATATATTGTGTAATAGATGTTGAAGAAAATATATCTTCTTCTGTATGAACACATACTTTTTTGTTGGATCTTATTGTTCTACTGTCTATCAAAATAATGCCTACTGATACACAATTATGTTTTAGGTTTCCACTTTTTTGAATGGAATAAACACACTTTGAGGTAGTTCTGGAACTGGAGGTTCCTCTTTTGAAACAAGTGAACCAACTTGGTTCAATTCTCTTTTCTAGATGATTTATTGCTATGTCCTTCCATGAACTGTTCACTTGAGAGCATGTCCTCAACTCATCACAATTCAAGTAACTGAATACAATGTCAAGAAGAGGATAAACATTCTCTAATGCAGATCCAAAATCAAAATTTTCTATTATGGATATTTCTGTAGGTGATGTCTTTGACTCTTTGATTGTTTTCAAACAAAACCCTTGATGTTTTGCAACCATCTCAATGTGTCTATCTACCACTTCTAACAAATTATCTTATAGTTAGTTATCAATATTGCCGAATTTTCGTTTTCCCATTCCCATATTTTCCATTCATGATCTGTGTTGCCTCGCCTCGGCATGAACAACAATTCTTGGGCAGAGATAAGTTACTTATTAGATAAATTATCCACAATTATTTCTGGTGAGAATCAACTTAAAATAATAAAATGTACAAGGGTAAGCAAGAAAATGAACAAGTGAATATAAATATGGCAAATGGCAAACAACAAAGAAAATCAAAACTAATATTTTGCTTTTGATCTTCCTATGATTTTGACCTTGACCTCTTTTGTCCTTTCGACTTTGACCAACAAGTTCACCGTTTGAAAACCAGGGGCACCAGGGCTGTTCCTGACCAAAAATATATTGTACTAGATCTCATTTCAAAAAAGTACCAGAATTGGGAATTTAGTACTGTATTTAAATTTTCGGTAAAGCTGCATTTATCATGCGATGGGTTTTTTTTCGGAAAGTTTTTTGGTACTTACATATTTTTGTCTGAAAAACACGAACTTGATAATGAAAATGTGAACAAACCACTATTTATCGAGATATTTCAAGAAAAAGTTCGAAATTTCGCCTTCTTTTTTCCCCTTGTGTTGGATGCATTTACAGCTACTTGCTCTTCTTATTTTGTCATTGGACACTTTATATACTTATGATGTACTTCAATGACACATTTTTTTATAAGAAATTCAACAGGAAATATGATTTCCATGGCGAGTTTTTCATATTTAGTGAACAAGCATACCAGATGACAGCCTTAATCAGATGTCAAATGTCAACGGATTGATTGCTTTTGAATGACATCACACACGCCATTATTTTAAATGATATTCTTTCTTCTTTTCACTAAAAATATAGAAAAATCACAAGAGAATCATGTTCCTTGTCGACTCATATAATAGAAACATGAAAGAAATGTGTCGTACATTGTGATAGATATATATAAATTGTCCAATGATGGAAAAAGCAGAGCAAATTTTTCTAAATGCGATCCAGAAGACAGGCGGAAAAGAAGGTGAAATTTGTAACTTTATACTGAAATATCTTACTAATATATGGTTTGTTCACATTTTCATTATCAAATTCGTGCTTTTCAGACAAAAATACGTAAAAGTACTGAAACAAATTTTCGAAAAAAAATCCATCGCATGATAAATGCAGTTTTACCCAATTTTTTTCAGATTGCCGCCGCCGAAGTGCTTGCATAGTTATTATTCACAAATACAAGTCGCCGAAACAACAAATATAAGTGAAATGATTTCAGCACATATATAAGAATATCGAAATGAAAAATGAAATTCAATTGATCAGAGTAATTCAAATATTCTCAAAATGTGAATAAACTTCTTATTTCCGTGTCATTTGGCAACTTACTCCGGTATCTTTTCCGTCAATGTAGGAATTGGTCTTTTGATAACTTGAGGTTACGTATTTGTTCGAATATTCTACATACTTTTTTTCTAAAATTTTGGGGTTTTTGACTTTGACACTGACCCCACGTTCTAGTAGCGCCAACTGGTGAGAGTGAAAATGTTAGCCCCTGATTCATTTTCATCCACTTGGTGAATAATGTGAACCCAAGGATATCTGAAAACTCATTTGGTACTAGATTTCATCAAATAGTACTTAAGTACTGAACCTGAATATCTTCGAATAGTAGTAAATCTAGTACTAAAGTACTGACTGGCACAGCCCTGCCGAGAACGTTGGCATTCATTCATCTTGTTATTAAGATCTATCAGCTTTTTGGGTTGCGTCCTGAAACCAGTAAACATGATTAAAAATAATAAAAAAGAAGAAGTAAGAATTCAGAATATACCCTTTGTTAGTTTGTTGATTGTTTGTTGCTGTTTTACTTTTACTCTTTTCATAGTGGTGTGCTTACTTTTTCAACATTTCAACTATGTTTCCAAACAAACTATTTATAATGGTTTTTGAACTTTTATAGTATAAGTTGTTGAAGTTCTTGTTTGCATATCGACAGGAAAATGGTGATTGATTTCTTCAAGAAACATGGTCTCTGTATTGAACAACTCTATAAGTTTACTTCCTCAAATCGGCTCAAGTGATAGGAAATTATTATCTCCAAGCTTTCATGGAGATTATCGTTATGGAATTCGAGGTACCGCTCCACAAGTATCTAGTTCTAGTCCATCCTTAACCTCCTCAGAGGATTCTGAAGTTGTCCAGGGACCTACAGATTTGGACTCATATGATTCTTTTGAAAATACTTTTGCTCACTGGCCCGATTCACTATCATCTGTTGAGTTGTACAGATGTGAATACTGCAATTTTAAAACTGATGTTTTCGAATATTTCCTCAAACATGGACAAAATAACCATAATCAATCATTCAAGAGGAAATTCACTTGTAATAAGTGTCCTTACAGTGCAGCAAAAAGATGGAAAGTTATTGAGCACATGAAGTACCATGAAAAACTACCAGGTATTAAACTATATGAGTGTGTACTCTGTCCCTTCAAGGCTCCACAGAGACATCAGCTAGATAGACACATAATGTTCATTCATCAGAATATGGGAATAAAGTACAAGTGTCATGTCTGTTCCATAGAACTGCAATCGAAAACATTACTCAAAAAACACAAGAGAACCCATAAATAGATAAGGGTCTTTTGTAATTGCACATTATTCAATATTGGGAATCATGTCAGAATCATGTTTGGACACAGTTCATTGAACTATGATGGATGATAGATATTTTACCTAAATGGTATGACCTCATGAATAGTGCCATGTTTTATATTGTAATTTGTGATGAAATGAAATTCAAATTTTGTAATGTCCACCTCAGTTTTAACTACAATAGATGCTAAATTATGTTATCTAAACCTGACAATCAATTGATTTTACATACTAGCAAGAAATCATAAGTTCAAGAAACTCTACATTTTATGGTGTATATATTTAGCAAATCAATTATTTTCAGTTTGTGGATGGTTGTGGATGTCAATAAATTGATCAAATATAGCTTCAGTATTGTTTAATTTACCATAATACCACCCCTCTCTAAGACAATATAATGTATGTGGTACCTCTGTAGCTATCAGTACAAAAAAAAACCACAAGTATGCAGCCTTGCTCCTATCAACTCCAATTTTAAAAAAACATCAAAAGAAATATTGACCGATTTTTCTGATTCTGTCTGTTGGAATCTCAGAGTCCATTGGTGGCATTGGTAGTCATATTATTCCCCTCCTTTCCTGTTCATACTTCATACTTTGTGTTCAAATATTGAATTAGATTTTTTTTGGTCCAACGCTAAATAATTCATAGGGACGACAATTTTAATGGAAGGTATTTAATTTTTTGAGGGCTCAAAAAAACCGAGGGGTGTCTTCTGGTATATCTCTTCAACAAAAGGTGTACACCAGTTTGGATATTGTGAGATTCAAAGCAATTTTGATAAGATTTGCAAGATTCTTTCAGATTTCTAGGGTTTTGTGGGATTTATCAAAGAGTGACAGATTCCTAAATCTTCATCAAGATTTCTGGGAATTCTCAAAAATCTAGGAGATATTCAATATTTGTCAAGAATTTTTGAGATCTTTCAGATTCCTAATAAGGATTTGCGTGATTTATCGAAGATTCAGAGATTTCTGAAGATTTATCAAGTTCATGAGATTTTCAAATAATTTGCGAGATTTTCGAAAGATTTGCATGATCAGATCATGATGATATATATCAATATAAGGATTGGGAGATTTCTGGTAATTTTCAATGAGACTGTCGAAAGATTGACAAGGTTTATCAAAATGCTCGTAAAAATTGTACAAATGTCTTCAACATTTTCTAGAATATTCAAGCTTTGAAACAAATTTTCTGGTTAAATAGGTTGGGAATTTTTTTTTCACGAATGAAATACACTGTTATGCAGCACAAAAGTTTCAGAAAAGGGAAATGCTAATATATAACCTCCGTAATCTTCCGACATGTACAGAGAAGTGCAAAAAAACCGGCCAGTGCTGTATCTTCAGAATCATTCAAGATCGAACTTCGAAAATTGGTGGGTAGCAATCAAACCAAATTGCTCATTTATTGGCGAAACAATTTCTGTTCTATCACTTCCCCGGTTTCAACCGGAAACGACGTCAACTTTTGATTTTTAAATAGGACACCCTGTATTTTATTCCATAATCGGTTAGGGATTATTATGACAAATACAACGATACCGTATTTGATAGGGTTAATCGAGGGGTTAATTCAAATGATCAAGAATATATTTGCGTTCGAAATTTCCATAAGGTAAAATGGGTCGTGTAACTTCGCAATGTCAAAACTTCTTTCTCTGTCGTCACACTCATTGAGCATATGGAAACTTCGAACGCGAATATGTTCGTAATCGTTGGGAATAGCAATATCAAACCTGGTACCGTTGAATTCGCTATGATATATAAGCCCTAAATTGTTTCGTCAATTGATAGGCATATTTTGGTATACTTCCTATACCCGCACCATTTTCAAAATCCGATCTCGAATGATTCAGACTGACCGTTTTATGTGCACTTTTTTGTTATCCCTTGGAGCGCACGAAAGGAAATTCCCTCGGAAATTCCATAATGTTCGTGGACTATCGGACCCTCCATCCAATTCTGCGTAAAGATTTTCATCGATAACGAATTACACAGCTATAATCTTTTTCTATCATCTGAACCTATTTTTCTGTGGGAAGATCAAAGTGAAGAATGGCTTGGAAATATTCTTTGAAGCATTTTCGATCGGTTTTTTCAAATGGCTCGCCTCTCCCGAGGTATGCGTAAGTCAACGCTTATACGGTCATTCTCTTTATTTTATCATCATAATCAGAGTCTGAACCTTGTTTTCTGTAGAAAAATCGAATTGAAGAGTTGAATGGTTTGAAAATTTGATTTCTAGGGGTATTTTCAACCGTTTTTTCCAAATTGCCATTAATTTTCACCCATTTCAACCTATTTTCCTATGAGACGATCGAGGTGAAGGATTGATTGGTTTAAAAATTCGATTTTTTGAGGTATATTCAATCGTTTTTTCCAAATTGCTCTCTCTGCTGGAGGTATGTAAGTCAATGCTCATACAGCCATTATTTTTTTTCTCATCTCAACCTATTTTTCTGTGCGAAAATAATAGTGAAGAATTGATTTGTTTGAAAATTTGATTTCTGAGGTATTATCAATTGAGTTTTATTTTCGATCGTGTTTTTCAAATCGCTCGATCCTCTCCCGAGGTCTGTAAGTCAATGCTTATACATCAGTCATTCTTTTTCTCTTATCTTAATCCGAGTCTAAGCCTTGTTTTTTGTGTAGAAAAATCAGATAGAAGAATTGATTTGTTTGAAAATTTTATTTATGGAGGTATTTCCAATCGTTTTCTTCAAATTGCCATCTATTTTCATCTATTTTTCTGTAAGACGATCGAGATGAAGGATTGTTTGTTTTGAAAATTTGATTTATTGAGGTATTTTCCATTAGTTATGGATATCTGTATGAGTATATCTCTATAATCAACAGGATCAATAATATATACTTAAATATAATATTATGTTTATCAGATGCAGCAGCACCTATCACACATTCATGAACTGATTGAGTGCCATTGCTCAGCATTGAATAATCAAATAAACAATGGGAAACGTGAAAGGGAAAGGGACATCATGAGTTAATATAGATGGGAATGAGATCTATAAATTTTGTATCGGATAATTGATTATGTAATCTCTGTACCTACCACCATTCAAATGACAGATGTAACTGATGATTTCATCTTAGTTTCTACCGATGTATATAAAAGATGTAGCTCTCAAGGACTGACAATTTTTCTGCGCCTGTTTTCTATACTTTTTATTATAGCATCTACAATGAAAGGCATGGTAAGTTAACGCTTCTACGATACCTTATTAGTATTATTTATACAAATGTAGAAAAACGACAAGGTTGACACATTGTTAACAATATACCAGGCGAATTGACCTTATATTTCAGTTTCCTATACGTTACCACGACACCATACGCAAAATAGTAAATAAAATAGTCTGCGACATAAATATTTCGCGCACTGCATGTAATAACTATATGAGATTTTTGTATTTTAACCTCAATCAAGCAAAAATACAAGAAATCATTTATATTTATGATTTTTTAGCAATAATTAAGGGTGTTTGTGCCAGTTCAACACTATATTTTTGTTTTGAGCTAAGCATATTATAGGAACTATAATAGGTAGGTACTTATTTTTGAACAATATTTTTTGACGGTTGTAGAAAAAGTTTGTTTGCCATTGCGCGCAAATACTTTGGTGAACTCGACTATTTTTTCAAATCAGTTCTCGATCACCTGAGTATCATTTCGCGCACTCTAGATACAAAAATAACTATTTTATAGGTGGTAATAGTTAATTTAGTTATCAATAAGGTGTTATACAAGGTGGTCCATATTTTATAGTAGCAAAATATCGTCAATATTTTTTTTTTTAGAAGGAAACTTGGTCATAAGACTTTTTGTTCTCGAGAAACAGAACGGCCATTGAAAAAACAATAGAATTTTCTTCAATTACTAGAAGAATATTAGTTGCGTTCAACAAAAATATGAAATATGATAAATATTCTTATGACCTACCTAGAATCTGTAAGAAAATACATTCGTAATTATTTTCCAGTTGATATAAATAACAGTTGCGTCGTTAGCTATATATCATTGTTTTTAATTGAGTTAAACAACTGTCGACGATAATTTGTCAAATTTTGATATATGAAATAATTTATGGATGTTCATTTATATAAAGAAATAAATTTACCCCCTGTTATATAGGATCTCTGGATAGCTCATTTAAGGCGCCTGTTCCGATTAATGAATATAATCTCTATTTAAAAATGCATGATTGTAATAAGTTATTTATATTCAAACTTATATTGCGCCTTCTGTAATTCAAAAAGCAGAGCTTATCTCAACACCAATATTTATAGAAATTTATATCTTCTATATCGAATGTCAAAAGTTCTGCCACTATAAAGTGCATGGAATACCCTGTATAGTATAGTGCCTGACGGCCTATATATATTGTGAAATTGAGCGAGTGGACTGAAATATAATTATTAGCATTCAATTACTCCAGCTACTTACTAAAAGAAGGGGGGGTTGAATGAGTACTAAAAACCTCCTGTATATGCAGAGAAGAAATATCGTGTTCAATTTTTTTTTATCTTCAGGTACTTGCATCTTTCCTGATTATATTATTGATAGCATCAACTACTGCCATGCCTGTTATGGTTCCAACTGATAACGAGGATATGACAGCGTGAGTATGATAATATCATAATATTTTGACTCACAGCAGCAGAATTATCGGGAATTTATTTTGCTGTGTGGAAGATTCGTTAAAAAAATCATAAATGGTTAGTTGCTTTTGATATGATGAGAAGATGAACCCTAGGACCTATTCTGCGTAGATGTCGAATAAAATATGACACTGTGGTATGGCATGCCTTTTCTCACTGTGCCCAACATAAGCTTATTGTCAGGAGTAACCATACCTTTGAAGACATCCATTTCGATGCTTTGTATTACTATCAGCAATAACCTTTCTTGGGAAAATCACGTGAGATCAATTGCTAAAAGTGCATCCCAAAAACTTGGTTTTCTGTTTCGGGCCAGGAGCTATTTCACTTCCAGTCAGCTGCTTATGATCTATAAGGACAGATCCGACCTGTTCTGGAATACTCTGTTCCCATATTTGGAGTGCAGAACTCAAAACATACCCTGAAACTGTTGGATTCTGTCCAGGAAAGGGCAATTCGTCTCGTGGTGCCTCGCTCACAAACTCACTCACTTCTCTGGAACACTGGATCATCGTAGAAAAGTTGGCGATCTGGTTCTATTTCATAGATATTTTCATGGACGATGCTCTTCTGAAATATCAACAATATTGTTCCTTCCTTGGCAGTCCCCGCGAGATTAACCCGTCGAGTTGAGGCTTCGCACCCCTTCGTGGTCACTTTG